CTCTGCATAACATGGCACCAACCAGAACAAATTAACCTATACCTATAAGCGTATTCTAAAAAAATCAGGTAAGCATTATTGCTCTTTTATTGAGAGCAATATTGTGTAAAGGTAGAAGCAGTATTGGGGAGTACAGAGATAAAGCCTGTAAGATGCTAGACAACTTACGAAAAGACATTGAAACGAACATTTTAATTTGTGAATTACTCATGGAATAAATTCGTTATATATCTATTCCAATAAGGATTTGGATGGACTGATAACAAAGGCTCTATAGTTGGATAAGATCACATGCATGTATGTATGTATATACGAAATATAATTGATTCTGCTAAGTCTTGTTTTTAGTCAATATAAGTAGTCTTATGAATCCGTGTGCTATAAATTAAACATTATTAAAGTGTAATTGTTGCACTTTTTGCTTTCTATATAGGTTTGTACATGTATAATATATTCTCTTATGAATTGATATGAAAGCCTTATGCATTGTGAAACATAGTTCAAGAATAAGTTTCTTAAAGGCTTTAAAGAGCTTGAAATTACTTTAAGTACTTTAGATATTAGTTGCTGTCGTTAGTCCCTAAGGCATTTACTGCTCAAAATAATTAATTCCTTTTTAAAGTACTTAAAATTTCGACTTCATGGCAATATTTGCATAAATTCCTTGAAGCATCTTTGAAAGAGAAGTTTGCTAGTTTTGCTACGTCTTTGGCAATTTAATATCGTAAATTTTATATTTTAAGTAAGAAGAATACCTGGCTTTCACAATACGAGTATGTATTCGCAAGAGTTTGATTTTAATCAAAATATTTCGAAATAAAATACAAATATTTTATCTTTCAGAATGCGAAAGACATTTTGCGAGGAATTTCTCTGCATATTCTGTCCGCATTTAATTTGCATATTAACCTTGCACATTTTTTATTCTTACGTATGCGCTTGGCTTGCACATGCATAATTGATGATGGAATACGTATATATGAAAGTAACTCTTCCTGTTTCAAAATACCAAATACCAAACACTTATAGGATATCTGTGAATATCTCTGTATATATGTGAATATATGTGAATATATGTGTGCATGTGTGTGCATATGTGAATTATATATTTTAATTTTAATACTAAAATTTTTACTGCTGTGAAAAATTCAAATAATGTGAAAATTATGCACTGACCAAAAACAACAGATTCTCAGATATGTGAGTGCTTATGTGCCTTAGCCAGCACAAATGCATGAATTCCATTTACACGAGCACACTGCATCCAGCATTCAGCATCCAGCATCCAGCATCTAGCATCAACCATCCAGCATACAGTACACAGTACACTGCTGTGCCGTGTATGGGCTTGGTCTGCTAATGTGTATTCACATTTGTGTTATTTGAGCAAACGATCTGTGCTAGAATACCATGTATTAATGATGCAAGCTATTTACCATTTTTGCATCCCAACAGACTAATTTTGTTACAAATTTCAGCATTATTAGTTTTGAATATTTTAGAATATTTCAAAGTGTTTCGTGCTTTCGTTTACATTTCATCCGTATTCATACTTTTAGCTGTGAAATGATAATATACACATGTGTGCATTCAAAATCCACACCGCTCGCTGTGGTTGACTTTATAAGCTTAACTAATTCACAGTTTGAAGTTATCAGTATCATCAGCTCAGTATCATAAGTTCAAAAAACGGGTTGAATCCTTACATCTTTACATGAAAACATTCTCACATCCTTATCCACCTCTACAAACGTGAGTCAGTCAAGTAATTCCGCATTCTCTCTAGGTCTTTGTTGTTTTCGATTCTTTCTTTGTATTCTATTAGGATTACGTGGTGTGCTTGAAATCATAAATGCATCTTTAATAATTAAATTGTGGTAGGAATGTGCTTGTATTTTCTTTTTTTAGACTTTTTGGCTGCTTATGTAGATTGCATTTTTGCAAAGAATAGCCAGATACAACCTTTTGGTTTTTACTTATTTAAACAACGGCAATAACACTTATTTTCACCGTATACCATTGTAGGGTGGATGTATTTGAAATAATCACACTAATTTGCATTATAAAAAAACATAATAGTTCCTTCTTCTGAGATTTGGCTGAGAGTTGTGTTCGTACCGCAATTATATATGCTCAAATACTGAAAGCAATAATGATACGTCTATGGCATACATACGCCAATAATAAGTATATTATAAACGGGAGCAGTGAGTTTAAATGGTTGAAGATATTGTAAATGATTTACTATATATCAGAAGTAATGCATTTTGTATACCAATGTTAATATTAATCTAAAGATAAAAGTTAGGCGTACAACTAAAGTTAATATTATATTCTTCACACAAATACTTTCACTATTATATTCACAATAATTTAATAGACTCTAGAAAGATACCTCTAAATCGTGATGATAAAAAGAAGGAAAAACCATCAAAACGACACAAGATATGTTGGAGTTAAACATATACTGGGTTTAGACGGTTTAGTAAGAATACCTGCTAATGGATTAGCAAAACAAACTTTTGTTAGAGTACCTATCAGTGCATCTGTCCATCAGTCCATCATTGCATCAGTCCATCAGTGAAATATTACAAGAGCATCCCAATGAAAAGTACAATAGTTTGTTTCTCTTTACACCGACTTAACATACTAGGAATACGAGAGCTCTATAATATATGAAAACATCATTTCACTACTTTGGTGTTTTTATTAAAACATATAATTTATTGAGTTTTTAATAAAGATATTTTCAATATAAGTAAAGTAATAATTCGAATTTAAAAACATTTGACTTTTAATGATAAAAACTACATGTTTTAATGAAAGTGCGAAAAAGTCATTTCTTATATAGAAAAGTGAAATTTTTACAATCTAGTTAACTGGAATATTTTTGAATTTTTAAGATATGAATAAGTTTCAGAAAAGTTTTTATTTCAATATTGTTTTTTGCTCTTAGTTCTCAGAAAAGTTCAAATTGAGAGTGTTGAGAAAGCGACTTCATATATTTTTTTACAAGATACTTTTAAGATAATTTTACAAAATTATTTGCAAAAATATTCTAAGATAAATCGTAATCGTGTTGTGTCAAGTATAAGCCATGGGTGAATTTAATGGGACCATTATTATGACTGTTCTCAAGCAACTAGGTGATAAGGCACCAATGGGTCAATTAATTAAAAAAGTAGCCGATGCTTTGAAGGTAAGTACATTCCATAAGTTCTTTCATAACGGATATCCGGTGATTTTTTGAATTTTTTACAAAAAATTCTAACAAAATAAGATATTTCTTATCCATGTTATGTTACTTATAAGGTCTGGATGTTCTGGTATAATATATAAGTTACAAAAGTTCCATTTAATAAGTTTTTCCTGACAATTGGATGGAAGATATGAACTTATTACTACGTGAAAGAAATCAATATCTACTTCTTTAATACGATATCGATAAAATGTCTTTCAAATTATTTATTCCGGATATTTTGTACATACATCCACTAAGCGAATAAGCGAAGTTGTTTCTTTTGAGAGGTCCCCTGTTGTGAGCTAACGTCATTTCATTAACTTTAATCAAATCCCGAATTTATCATACAATATAATTTTTCAAAGTATTAGTTTTGGTTCTATATACACAAAAATAAGTTTTCTTATTAAGTTATCAAAAAGTTAAAATATATTTTTAAAATTTTGTTTTTATTTTGTAGAAACCAGTAGACTCCGTGAGGGACACAATTATGCAAACTGTAGAGGGCGGCGTTCAGTTAGGTTACTTGCAAAGGCAAGGTAACTACATTATTGCCTCCAGTTTGACTAACGATATGAAGCTGAAGGACCGCCCGGTGTCCCCACGGAAGAAGGGTAAGAAGCGTAATAACAACCCACGTGGCAAAAAACGCAAACCTAAGCCTAAGGCTCGTAAGAAGAAAAAACGTTAAGGACAGAGAAATAAGCGTAAATAAAAATTCTAACATCGGTATTTATTGTTAAAAATTATCTGTTATATATTTTGTTTGTATTATTCACTTTAAAACTATTTCAGACTGCCGCGGAATTGAGACCTACTAGTCCAGTCGAGAAAGTCCAATAAGTCCACTTACAACAACACAAGGCGATTACTGTTAATAACCATACTATGTAAGCTATTCGATTTCAATATTTCATAAAAAATATAAGTGAGGTTTTATGAAGAATAATAATCATTTGATATTCTCCTCTCCAAATAAACTTATAGGATAAAACTATATTATACTTATCCCGTTGCGTAGGTAGAGTTATTGGTTCCCGGTACATTAAAGTTATGTTGTTTTTCATTTCGATGACTATCATAGGTATTTATTTCTTAGAATTAAAAAATTGCATATAAGTAAACAATTGCAAAACAAAAGAACTCTACTTAAAGTCTGCCAATCTATTTAAGAACTTATCATCCCAAAAAGCTCGATAAAAATCAGTTTCAAAAATATAACGATCAGTTTACTATCTAAAAACTTTAGTAAATTGTTTACTAAACATTTGTTCGAAATATTTTTTTACGTAAACGCTTACAATTTATAAAACTTATTACATTTTATTATATATGTGCATATTATATAGTTAAAAGTTTATATATATATGATTAATGCATTTTCTTGAAGTCTTAATGTGTGAATAATTTAATAGGATATATTCGGATAAACAGGAGATATCTCCTGCAATGATAAAACAAAGAACACAATATCCACAATGTGACAGTGTGGAAGAAGGCGCAACGTGCTGTTTTAACTGAAGGGATGGTCATTTAAAACAACTATTTAAAGGTTAAGAAAATATTACTGTTTGACATAAATCTATAAATTTTAAAATATTTTGCAAAGTTCTTATTACGACTTAATGAGAATTACCAAACATTGTTACCAATATTGCAACTTAAAATAACGAAGACAACATTTATAGTAGTCGCAAATATAATATCACTTAGCAGATCCACGAGTATGAAAATACCGAACCTGTTACATTCATCAATAAACTCAGAAACAACTATTGCAGAATTCATAAGAGCATGACCACAGTCTTAGTCAAATTGTAAAACAGTAGCTCAGTAATTATTGTGGTAGGAATATAGGACTACACTTGCTTAAATATCAGCCTAATTATTAAAGTGGCACCATTACTCAACAGTGATGATTCCTGCTTAAACAAATGAAATATACACTAGTATAAATGCACAGTGGAATTGGATTTCAAACCCTGACTGGATCTATACTTTGGACCAAGGTCTGAATCCTGGACTGGACTGGTATTTCGCTGGTAGAATGTTAGGAAATATATATGTGAGAATAGAAAGAAAGAAACTAGCCACAGTATTTTATTAAAATGCTTACTTGAGGGATTTTCTTCTGGTGTAGCTGAAAAATACTCGAGGTACTTTTACCACACTTTTATAATATGAATGCAAGTAGCACGATATAAATATGTGTTTATTTTCATATAATTATTATTATGTATTTGAATGTTCTTGTAATCCTTAAAGTCGACATCCTTATTAATCCATAAATATGTGATCTATTTAAATATTGATTTCAACACACTTTATCGAAATGCATATCAATTGGAATTTCCTACATGGAAGAGATTTTAGTAAATTATTGGTAGTTTAAGAGCAATAGAACATATTTTGTTGGCCAAATATTAATGAATCAAATAATCTTCGTACCAACTCATAAACCGGAAACATAATATTACATGTCAAGGAACAAAACTTAAAGAGATGGTATTTTGTAACATAGCTTTTGATAAAGTCCTATTGAAACATAGCCTCTACATTCATAATTTAATAACCGGTAATAAGTTATATGGTAATTGGTGATGACAATCAGAATTGGGGGTTTGTGTCACACTTTCTTCATTTTCCAAAAAGGACGAGTCTTTTACACACCTATCAAGCAATAAATAGGATCTATAGAACTAAAATACTTGTAAAATGTGTCGTTTTGGGTGTTTTCATTTTCGTATTAAGTTTTTATATTTTCAGACGTTCAGCGGTTGTTGAAGTGATTCAAATAGTAAAATGGTGAACTTTAAATTTTAAACTAATTATATGGTGTCTGGAAGAAAATTTTATTAATTGAATACTATAGAAACAGTGCGTCCAAATCAGCACCACAAAGTGAATAACTCTTTACTTCTGTATAGTACTCGTATATATTTATTTATATTTTTATTTGTATATGCATATATATGTATACATTTGTATATTTTTTTTTGTTTTCTTATTAATTTATGAGATCATATTCAATTTACATTAATGGTATATTGGAGTATTCTATATCGTATTACTATATTGCTCTTGTCATTTATATTAATATTATTTTTCTGTTATAAACTTACCTTTAATTATATATAAATACTTCTAAATATTGTTTTGTTTTTTTCTAGAACTGACCAAACAGCTTGGTTTTTTCAACAAAAAAATAAGGATGGACTAAGTGGAACTCAAAAACTCCATTCCAAACAATGGATAAGTGGTTTAAGGTTCCTAGAATTTTTTTTATATATAATATAGTAAAAAAAATCGAGAGGTTTATATATAAACGTAATTGATTTGTGTAAGGATTGTTAAAATACGTTTTTTTTTAAAAATTCAAAACAAGAATGAATCAAAATCAGGACTAAATTTGATTTTTTCGCATTTTTAATGCTTAATTGTTTCGAAATTTGAAAATTCAAGTCTTAAATTTTTGTTAAATAAACTAAGAGCAATAATATATTTTTTGATAAGTTTATATATTAAATACAACTGTAATTTTCACTTCACTAAACTTGTTTTATATTTTTCATAGTTTTTATCAATATGTTTGTAACAATAATTTCCTTACTGACCTCGCAGAGATAATGAAGCCAGACTTATCAGATTTGCTTAATTTCATATGAAATTAATGAGATGTGATGTGATGTGATGAAAAACCAGAGCTTGCGATTGGAAGATCTATTGTACTGCTCTCAATTAGTATAAAGCTGATGTGTTTAGTTTAGTTCTTTCATGAAATTCTACATTCAGGCCCAGACCTTACATATTAAGTTTAAAGAAGGTATTTAGGTATTAACACGATATTAAAACTATGAGACTCGAAGTTTGCATTTTCAACCCCAGTTGACATCTTTTATTAACCACATACCTACTCTTAAACTAATTTGTTATTAATTGCTAATATTTAATGATCCTATCTAATAATCTTGAAGTGTGTTTAATACATAGAATTTTTTAAAAGATTAATACAGATCTATTGGTCATATAGAAAAATGTTGAGTTGCCATTGAAATATCTTCAAAAGACAGTCAGTCCATTTTGATCCTATTTTTATTAGAGAATCAGTTATAATAGTTTATATTTGAGATTTCTTGTGATAAGTCCCAAATCAGATTTCCTAATTTTCTTTATAATTGCTAACAATTATAATAATTGCCACAATTGTTAGATTAGAATTGCTATAATTGCTAATTGCTAACTGTTTTTTTTTATTATTGATATACACTAATATATTCCTCTTTTTACATTATAATCAAAAATGCAGTATCATTTTCACTGCATTTTATTAGGAAGTTGAAAATCAGTACTCATTTGATTTGCTTCCCAGCTCAATTGTTTATTCGTTCTGTCACCATTCCATCATATAAATTGACAAAATCAATAAACAAAGTAACAATTAAGTTGGCAATTGAGTTCAACTTAAGAGATGAATACACAAGTAATATGAGTTTTATTGAACCACCGGAGGCAGAATCCTGTCATATCATCATATGCACAGTTTATGGCTGAAAACGTGTCTGATTGAAAACCAAACATCATGAAACTGTCAATTAACCACAGTCTGTGGCATCGATAATTACTACTGCAACGAATTGAACTTATATCAAGAAAATCATTCTCTTTGATTGTTAAAATCAATTGAAGTTAATTAAAATTGAACAAATTAATAATTAATCAGTCGTTCAAATTAAATAAAACCAAGTAATTTCATAAAAAATGATATTTGCAGTTGTATCATATTAAGTATTTACATTTTCATGTTGGTTTCAATTAAAACTCGGGCTCTTGATCAAAAGTTTTTAATTAATTTAAATGTTATTTAATTTGAATTTAATTTAATTTAATTTAATTTAATTTAATTTAATTTGGTTTAATTTAATTTAATTTGATTTAATTTAATTTAATTTAATTTAATTTAATTTAATTTAATTTAATTTAATTTAATTTAATTTAATTTAATTTAACTTAAATTTTAATTAATTAATTTAATTGAATTTATTATTAATTTAATTTAATTTAATTTAATTTAATTTAATCTAATTTATAATTCAAAATTAAAGTCAACGTGTATTCAATGTTTAAATTGACTAATAGGAACTAACGAACTGTAACAGTATGAAGCTATCGAAAAGGAAAAACTCTCTCCGATTCCAACATTTGAGAGAAATGGTTAGTTTCCATGATTAATTGTGTTATTTCCAATATATTCCAAATCAAGTTCCATACATATGCCAATGATAAACCACGATAAGCTATAGACTGAATGATATTAATTAATAAGATGCGAGACTAATACATTGAGTTAGAATCATATATTATTTGTATTTGTATGCTTCGTATTCAGTTAAAAAATATATATAGAGAATAAGATACAATTTGTAATTGTAAACTTTCCAAAGACAGACTATATTCACACTAATTCTTAATTTTTTATTCGCATTATGGTTTACAATATTTGGAAGTATAGTACTTATGTATAATACAACGATAATACACACGATAGATCACAACAACATTATATTGTTGTGTTAAACTAGAACCCTAAATTTTCTATTGATAAGGCAAGGGTACTATAGTTTACCGCACAATTGTGAGCTCAGTATATAATATTGTTGTTTAAGGATTAGATTCTGAAATTATCTGTTTCTAATAGTATGCTTACTTAGCTAGTCTAACTTACTAAGTAAATTGTATTAACCATACAAAGAGCTTTCATGAAAATAAATTTCCCACAAGGGAAATTACCAAAATTTGAAAAATGTGTCATGTGTTTTTTATGTAAAATGTAAACAAACAACAGCTGAGCTGTAAACAAACTCATATTGGAAGTGAATATTTATTAAAATTTTTGTATATATTCATTGAATAAATATATATATATAAACACAACAATTATATATATAATTTTTTGTGTGATATGTTTCTAAAGTGAAATGTTTCTAAATAAATAGAGACACTCTTAAAACTTTCAAAAAACTTTTTCACACATAAAAACTCTTTCACATACAATAAGTAACTTATGTCAATGTAAATGACCAAATCTTAAAGTTACTTAAGTAACTTACTTAGGATATATATAAGCAGTGGAAATATGACATAAGTTAGTGTATTACAATAAGTAGGGGTGGGTGATCTGAAGCCTAGTAAATTTGAAGTATGCAGATGCTGTCATCTTACCTACATCCTACATTTATCCGAAAATAGTTGAAACTTAACCAACAATAATTAGAATGTAATGAGGTTGATCTGAAGATATTATATAAAAATCTTAATTACTCTATTTTAGTAAAACTAAAAGTACATTCATTCTGTCTCATTAGTATTAATGAGTGAACGTTCATATTATAATCAGCTCATTTATGCATCTGATAGAACTATTATAAACTTATATAAACTTCACTTCATAATTTATCACACAAAAAATTAAATATATGATTGATATATTAAATCATTTATAGAAATTTTATATATCAATTACATATTCTTACTTACTTCTTCAGTGCGCTTATTTACAGCCCAGCTGTTGTTTGTTGACATTTTACATACATACAAAACATGTGACACATATTTCAAGTTTCGTCATTTTATGCCTTAAATGAGCTGATTTGTCGAAAATGAGCTCATTTATATGAAAGCACCTTTTATGGGAAATCATTCTCATTAGTGGTTATAATGAGCAAAACATCTAAAATGAGGTAGTGTGAACGTGCTGAGGCTAAGTTCTTATGTGTTTTTTTTTTAGATATACATACTATATATAGACTAATAGCATTTTTAAATAGTTTTACAATTTTGTAAATATTGCAAATTATTTTTTGTGTTTCAAATTAAAATTATTTTGACGAAATTAATTAAATGTTATTTTAACTAAAAACTAAAATGATGAATTAGATGGAACTCCAAACCGCAGTGGAACAAACAAGTTAATAATAAAATATCTACAACAAAACTGAATTGGCTTAAAAAATATAAATAAATATCAATAAAATACAAACAGAATGTTGGAGCGGAAGAACAACCCAGTATTCAAGTAGAGTTGATAATGGGAAGAAGATAAATTTGCCCCATATCCCAAAGTGAATTACGCGTTGTCTGTCATTTCAGTGAAAATAGGTGTTGCAGCAGCGTATTTCATAAATCCCATGCTACATAACATGGAATAACAAAGCGTGGACTTGGGTGACAACAATGTGCAACGTCAACAAGATTTACTCGGATACGCCGCATCTACTGCATGCACTACTGACATACACAGTCCACCTCCTGAGCAGTTGTGTTGTTATTGGGAGCATAACCAAGAATATTACTGATAGCAATACTAGGGCGTTGCAAAGGGTGGAAAGGGTGAATGCAAGGGTTTTAGTTGTTACCTGCCGCTGTTCTATCCTTTCATAGCTGGTTCTGCCGCAGCTGCAACTTTTACTATTTCACCAAAAAATATGCACAAAATCCTTGTTAGTTCGTAATGGTGGAATTGTTTCGGTTACTGTTTTTCCAGCACAAGCTAAGCATCAGTGGTATCAACTACATCATACTCAACGAAAACAAAAACACGAAGGAAAAAATAACCGGAACAAAGATACAAGTAACCGAAGCCGCAACCTTCAAAGTAAACATTTGCACAAATGGGTTGATGCAAAATTTTATTGTACGTCCATGCTGTCGCGTCCACATGTGGAACCATTGTGCTAAGCAGCGCATAAAATGGAAGGAGATAAAGTCATTCTGTTAGCGCAACATTGTGATTTGTGTCATCAATTTTAAAATGGAACTAGTCCGTAATAGTGAAAAATTTCATAAATAAATAAATTAAACAAAACTTCAATGGAAAAGTCCTAATGCAGTTTCGCTATGGTTTTTGCATTATGGTGAGATCCGTGTACATCCTTTGTATATCACGTTAGATGGTTATGTTAGATGAAGACCGAAGTGGATTATGGACATTGCAATGAAGCACAACATTGCAATATTTATGTGCATTCAGCAATTTATTTGCGTTTCATATGTTAAATCCATAATCTTTTATTTTTTATATACGAGTAGCAACACAGTACTTAGTAAACCAAACAGAAAGTAACGAATAAACAATAGTTTTAAAATTAACAACTTTCTGCATTATAAAATTATAATAATAATAAAAATATATCTAAAGAAAAATAAATCTGCTGTCGTTTATGTTGAAACTCTTTGAGCCAGTGCACTTGAGCACTTTTACTTTTTCTTAACTCGAGATATTTTCAAAACCCCTCTTTACGACATAACTGGATTATTATTTATCACTTCATCAGAATAAGCAATAATTGACCTCAGATTTGCATACCTCCCCGAGGATCCCGTAACCATTCTGAGATTTGATAAACCGGTGTTGGTAAGTCTGTTAGTTTTCTCAAATAATTTCAGGGCTCCATACTTTATGTACTTTTTGATCGGATCAATCTTGAGGTCCCTTAGGACCTCATATTGAATTAATTTGAATTTTAATAAACACAAATTTCGAATAGATAATATGATAATACTAAAGAAATTTTGAAACCCAAAACATAATTTTTAAACAAGTTAATCTTTAGGCTTATCACGCAGCTCTTAATAATAACGTCATGTATTGATTTAGATATATGTACATAATTTTCAGGCTGTAACAAAAATCATAGGCCTCGTTACATTTGTACTGCCATTGTAACATTTACATGTTGACACAAAAAAACTACTTTAGCAAATAATCCAGTATCGTTAAAAGCTATGTTATATAGACAGTCAATGTCAAGTCAGTTGTGAAATTGTTGATGTTTGCCATGTAAATCAAAAAAATTGAGAAAGAGAGATGTTGACGAGGCTTTCTGTGCTTCATCACAATGATCAAAACAGTGTTGCTCAGTAACAATTGTCAGACTGAACAAAAAAACTACTAGGCACTGATGTTACCTAGTGGTTTTATATTAGTTTTTTTTGCAATTATAATTTTGAGTGTTCTGAAATCGCACAAAATTATTTTTGGCAAACATGAGCACATCAAATTTCTGAAATAGCGCTCGAAATATGCTTCTTCAGAGGGTTTTTAACTGGTTCCACACTATATATGTCTTTACTTTATTTTAGCCTATTTCCGATCTATCTCGATTTTTGATATATTCTTAGAAATATATTTTTTCATGCAACTTTTCATATTCATTATATTTGTGATATTAATTTTGACTTTACTATATCTCGACCTATTTGAGATATGTGCCGAAATGTACTTTTTCCGAGTTTTTTTAGTATTAGTTCTATAAAGGACATTATTTTTTATTATATTTCGACCTATTAAAGATGTATGAAGAATATTAAACAAGACATTTGTTATGTATAAATAAATATGTGAACACATATAAATATAGTTACCTCCAGCTCCAGTTATGTTATGCCGCTCTTTACCTCACCTAATACCTCAAGTTAGGCAACTAAAGTATATTTACTTTTTCTATAAATTTTTAGTCTTCACTTATATTTCTTTTATGTCAAAAATTTATTAATACTCTAATCATAAGAAGAATTTCAACAGTAGTTTTAGTAAAATAACTTCAGATATTTGAAAAATAATGACTATCAAACGAAATTCAAAAATAGATTTGATATTATTTCATATATGGTTTGTAATCAATTAGTAATCCACGGATTATAATATCTCCGTCTGCTTCCTCTAACATATTTGTTTTAAAGTAAATAAGAGACCTGCACTTAAAGCTCAGTGTTGCTGTGTAGAACAGCATAATAAATCGCCTCTGTAACTCATATATTATACCCAAGTATTCAGCTTATTAAAGATTTTTTTTTAACTTCTGGGTCTCCAAATACTCAGGATTTCTTTTGCGATTTTAATGTATAATGTATTGGAAACCTAACTAAATGCTGACACAGAGAAAAATTAGTAGAAACACCGACATCTAAGTCGCAGAGAATTTAGAATTTCCTAAATTCAATAAAAGGAAATTAGGAAAATTTATTAGATATTGAAATACATGAAGACAAACTCTATTTATTAGAATAAATGTTATAACAATTAATTATTAAATATTTTTTAAAACCAAACGAAGATAATACAGTCATCCATCTGTTTTCTATTTTGTATTTATAAGTGCGGTCATATTTTCCGCTGGGTCTGTTTATGTGCAGTCGTGTGAATGCATTAAATCCAGAAGTGTTGCCAAACTGTGTAAGATTTTATATGCAACATATTATGTTGTTGTCACTGTAGCAAACTTATTTGTCGTTGCTTAGCGGTTTTTATTGTTAGTGTAATTATAGTTGCTGGTGTTGTTGTTGGTGTTGATATTGCACAGTTGTTACTACTATGTTGAGGTCGTTATTATTTTATACTCTTAACTACTTTGCATTAATGGCCTTGTACTACAGTTAAAGTTGTTGCATTTGTTTCATTGTGTTTTTTGTCAAAAATGCATAATCTTCCTTTAGGCAGCACATACGGAGGGGAGTGCATTGTGGAAGCGTTACAGTGCAGGCTACAAGCACTAACATGACAGTTTTGTGAAAGTAACTACTGCTCATAATGAAGAAAAGTTGATATTAAGTGATAACATGAAATGATTGTTTACTGTAATATTGACGGTATAACCAATAGTGTTTCTAAATACCACACATAAGTTAAGATATTGGTAAGTGTCTTAAAGTTTTGGATAAAATATAAAATGCTTAGAGGACTGCTTTTATACAAATACTAAATTAACTGCAAATAGATCACTGGCACACAAAATTTTTTTCTGTTTTGAGTTTTTAATCTACTGTGCAATGTTGCATCATTGCATCAACATACTACATTGTACATAAGTAGGCGTGCATAGTTTCAAAAATATTACTTACAAATTTTTTAAAACCGAAATACATATTTTTCAAAATTGACTGCAGTTGGTTTCAAAATTTATTTATAAAAAATTTTCAAAAATTTTGATTTTAATTTATCTAAATTTTCTGTATATAAAAATGAATGGTAGAATAACAAACTTTATATTATCCATTGGTGGACGCCAGATACGTACACTCAGCACGAATGGATTAATGGATGCAGAAAAATACAAAAATTTAAAAAAGAAAACCGACGAGTATGCGATTTTGGCTGACGAAAAGAATCAAGGCACAATCAAGCGCAATCAAAAACTTCCAAGTTCTGCCTTGAACGAAAACGCAAGAAAGATGCCAGCAGACAATGAAAGGAACCAAGGCACTTCATCTGGCAGTCGGCAGCAAATTAGTACCCGGACCAAACGCAGGAGAGTGACGTGTACTGTTTCCAGACAATTCGGCACATATAGCCATTCTCGTCTGGATAACATTTTTTATAAGAATTGCAAAATCACTACTACTTCTGCGTTAGCCCGGGTTATCGCTGAGAAGAAGAAAGCTGCAGATGATTTGAACACTCCTCGTCGTCCGAAGCGACGATATTAGTATGTATTATATATACTCAATTATTATCGAACTAGTTCTACGTAATTAATAAAATAATATTATATCCTACTTTATTTATTCCCTTAGTTCGATAACATTATTTAATGCAACTAAGTCAATTTTATAAGGAATATTATATTATCTATAGTATCTTGCTTTCAACAATTACATTGCTGATTTTTATATCTTTTAAGGTTTTATAAAAGCTGCATGATCTGGCATGAATGTATCTGGCAAGAATGTATCTGGCAGGAATATATCTGGCAGGAATATATCTGGCAGGAATGTGTCTGGAATGAATGGATCTGGCATGAATGTGTCTGGCAGGAATGTATCTAGAATGAATATATGTGACATGAATATATCTGGCAGGAGTGTGTCTGGAATGAATGGATCTGGCATGAATGTATCTGGCATAAATGTATCTGGCATGAATGTATCTGGAAGGAATGTATCTGGCGTCCACTGTATATTTTTTACCAACGTTTTTACCTAAATTTATCTATAAAACAATAAAAAAAATTTGGCACTGCAGAAAGTCTTTTTCGTTTTAAAATTAATTTTCAATAAAGTTTTATTAGTACAAATTAAATGGTAAATAAAATAATGAGAAAAAAGAAAAAAAAAATAGGCAATGTACCCCATATAAGTTATTCCACTTCTTGAACCAAGAAATAATCTCTTGAATTTTATGTCGTTTTTTTATGAAATATGTACTGTCTACGTTAATTAGGAAATCTGGTGATAACTTTTTAGAACTTTAAAGTAATATAGTGATGTAGTGTTGAAGCTATTCCCACTACAAATAAACTATTACTATATACTATAGCAGTTTGTTATTAGTACTACAATATATTTAGTTTAAATTTTACCGATTTTACAACCATAAAAAATATGGCCAAAATGCTACATAATTTCTTTCGCTCGTGTATTTTATGACTTCATATTAAGGAACCCTTTTCATATTTCAAATCCATTTAGTAAAACTAATTTGGTCGAATTTAAATTGCTCATTTTTATTTGAATTTTATGAATACCAAACACTTTTTTACTCATTAAAAATGTTTTTAATATTAATGATAACACAAATCCTGAATGTCTTAAAAGTATCATGTAGCTTAGTAATTATGGTTAGGAAAAATTTGAATAACGCACATTAAAAACATTTAAAAATATTTATTATTCAAATATAATCCGGAAAGAATAGCGGGAAAACAAATCTTCCGCATTGTCTTTACGAAGGACAAACATCAATGAGCCGAAAATTATGAATTTCTTTAAACATCCTGTCAGCATTTATTTCATATAAAACAAACTCGAAAAGAAAAATGGAAGGAGAAGAGGTAGGGCATCATCGAAAAAAGGGACATCTTTTGTGCATCCTTTCATTCTTGAAGCTATGAAAATAAAATGAGATCATTTCGGGGACAATCAAATGAGGCGTGAAATATACTTCCAAAAATATAAAAATGATTGATGTGGTTTGGGGCTAGATTAGTCTTCTTCATTTTCTATTTAAGCTACACAATTTTTTATATTTAGTTTGAAAGATTTTTGCCAACGCTGTGTCTGAACAATCATAATAAAATTTAAAAATTGTTTATATGTAATGGATTTTTGTTTAAACAAAAGATACTATTTTTGAAATATTTTTTTAATATCATTAATTTTTTTTAGGCATTTATGTTCTGCTCATGCAGTTTGAACATAAAAGCGAGATTGTTTGATTCACCTTACTACATTCAAAATTAAGGGAATTGCAGACATCAGATTGTTAGTCTATTTTGAATTAAGTTTAACTAAAATTAAAATTATAAAAAGAACAACTCGTTATTTCAAGGGTCAAACGATATTTGTGTCGCACTTTTTACTGATTGATATATTTTCATATGTTTATATACCTATATCTAAAAGTAAAGTATATTTACTATATTCTCTAAAGAATATATACTAATATAAAACCTTCTGTTGAAATCAATTTGGTTTTGAAGCTTTTCTAACTCAAAACCCTGGTCAGTGGCTTAGTCGCAAAAGAATCCTAACACTTGTCGAGCAACATCCTGAAATCTTGATGCCATGGGACCTGATGAACCCCGACTTTACTTTATACAAATCCTTTAAAACTGAACTAAGCAACAAAGTATTTTGGAAAAGGATAGACAAAATCTATAAAATAAATCAGTACACGATATAATGGCTCTCTTACATATAAGGGTGCAGAGACGGGTATGGTAGGTTCGGTCAAAAAAACACTGGAAAGCACTGTGCACATAGCAGGTTGAAATTTATGTATTGTGCTCAAGAAAGAAACTACCACAATCGAAATATTACAACAGGTAGGCTGCCATTAGGGCAATGAACTCTCAACAAGTAACATCTAGACTGGTACTGAAATGTCTTTATAGGCCAAACACGCAAGGCCTACATAATCAGGTATCAATTCTGTGAGTACCGGACACGTTGGAATATCGGAAAAGAAACGAAGCAGCAGATGAACTAGCAAACAGCCGTTTTGTAGCGTAGGCTAGAGTCACTTCTCCTCACTCGTATTAGAAGAGGAAATCAAACAAAGGATTATATACTCGGACAAACCACCAAGACAATCCAGAACATGTATGACTTCATACAACCATAGCAGATCCAAGAATTGCATAAACAGCTTAATACTTATCACAGGAGTCCTAACAGGAGATTGCAGGCTAAAACACCACTTAGCGAAACTAGGGGCACATGCTAATGCTAGTTGTAGATTCTGTGAAATTGACGAACAGTCAAATATAACTCTTAAATATAAATTTCACACAAGGGAAATTATTAAAATTTGAAAAATATAATATTTGTCTTGTTTTATATGTATGATGTGAACACACAAGCATAAATCACATGCGTTTTCCAGCTCACGTCAATGGAAACGAATTAATCTTAATTTCATTAACATTTTAGCTAGAAATCTTGCTTTTATCTAGTATTTTCGCTTAAAAAGACGTCCATATATTAATTAAAATTAAACCGCCAGCAGATCTAACAAACTATTTTTCAGTGGAATATAAAGCGCTAACTGTCGTCTTTAATAAGTCATCCATCATTAAACTCAATTTAACTTATCCCTAGAAATTTAATTGAGGATCGTGATGTAAAGTTTTCTTATTATATTTCATTATATGAAATTATTATATAGATATATACAAAAACATATATTTTTCTACTCTAATTACCTTAAAAATGTCTCACAAAGCATAAAAAAATTTGTATCTAAAAAGAAAAACTTGTATATTAAGATAAAGAAGTTTAATTCATGTTCCTTTTTGATGGCCACAACAACAACATAATTTTTGCTACAAACTCCTAACATCAATACTCGTATGTGTGGCCCTTTTACTTTCTATCTGAGACTGCGATTAAATTTTATGTTTAGTCCATGTTTTATTGTTATCCAATGCACAAGGCGTTAAAACCCTTTAAATGTGTCAAGGATTATATAGGATATATATATCGTTTTCGGTAATTCTGGTTGACAAGCAGTTCTAACAAGAAAAATGGAACAACGTTACTTAAAGGAATAAGATTGTATACAAATATCACGTGCACATTATATGTCTATGTGAGAAAGGGCATTGCGTCATAAATTGTCCTTCTTCATTCTTCTTACTAAGAAGAGAATGAGAAAAAAAAAAATAAAAAATTTATTTAAAAAAACTGTTATAAATTCCTCGTATTTGTTTTAATGAAGTTTTATACAAAATACAATACAAAAAAAAATTCCAAACTTTGTCCTTAAAAAAGATGCATGTTTGATATTTTAAATCCTGCCGTAATGCGAGTGGGAAAAATTCCAAAAAAGGTTGCAAACTGTTTATTGTTTCTACATTAAACTCATTTATATATACATATATATATACATATTGTATCTGAAGAAATACATAAGCAAGCAAATCTCTTTTTTTTATGTAACAGAAAGTTAAACCCAACAACATTAAATCTTTTGCCTTAATTAAAATAACAATAAATTTGCCTTTACTTACCTTTTTGTTAGCAAGAGCTTTCAATAGATAAGAAAATAAAACAAAATTATTTAGAAAAACATTTGATTTCTTTAAATCTTCTTTAAAGCACACCTGACGTATCCTTTCACTGTGCACACAAGGTATATCTTGCACTCACCCGGCTGTCCCGCGAGACGTTCAGTGAAATGTCTGCTATAAGTCGCTCCAGAAGCCTCACATAGGAAGTTATAAATTTCATTGACGCGCATCAAATGCCAAATGCAGCTAATATAACATTTCCTCCTTGTGTGTTATCCTTGTTTTCTCCCTTTCCTTGTAGTTGTAGTTGGGATTCATGCCCTGAAATTTGAAATTTTAAAGCAATTAAATTTTTGAATTAAACTTTGACACAATGCTGATGCAGCACCCCACCCGGCTGCCGGCAGTCGGCAGCCGGGTCGGGGTGCGGTGCTGCTATGCTATCGTTTTGATGAACAAAAAGCAAAAGTGTAAAGAAATTTGAAAAAATTGATGTGTTGCTCCTGTTATCCTTGGCAAGCATACATTTTGGATTTCCAATTTAGAGTTTGTGGCGTGCATTGATTTTCAAAAAGCCAATGAATTTTTCACTCCGTTGTTTGGCATGTGAACACTTTCAAGTGCAAAATCCATCAGCTTAGCGTGCAAATTCCTGTGCATTCATGTACGTACGAGTTTCGCAAAATGCATAACAAAAACTGACGCCTTCCTTCCTTCCTTTCATCCCTTCATACCTTCATCCTTCTTCCATACTTCTTTGTCTTTGTCTTATGGGAGCACAAAAAGTTGTTAAAACAAAAAAAAAGCCAAATTAAATTAAATGTATCGAACGAAATCAATAAATTTTCCTACAGTTATTTTATTAAAAATTTAATATTAAAGTGATACGATACTTATTATCAAAGTCATTATGATCCCTGAACATAGAAACATCTAAGGGAACGAGAAACTTGAGTGTTTACTCCACCTTGATCCTGCTTCCTTGAATGTGTTTCTAGAGTTAGCAGTTTATCTTACCCTGGAGACCGTTAAAAGAAGTACTTACCCTTACTTTCTTCAGTTTACCAATAACAAATGAAAGGCGCTTAAGCCATGTGTAACTTTCCGGTCAAATTGGCCCGCCTACAATCAAACTAGATGTTCAGAACTTATGAGAATTGATCATGTGAATATTTCAAGCCTTACTGCAGTTCTTTTTGATCATTAGTGTATGGGAACTCACGCAAAAAAACTGTGCATTCCTCATAATCCTCACTGCAGACGTTGCGAAAATCTGCAGGAAAAAGAAACCATTAAACACTTACTGACTTTGGCGTCGAGAAGAAGTAAGTTTTTTTTTCTAAGTTGGTTGATATTTCTTTAACAGATTATCAAACTGTTCATCAGAAAAAATGAAACAGGTATATAAATTCGACAGATTAAATTAAGTCTGCATTCTTCTATATTAGGGTTTCTTGAAAGGAATGTGATAGCAAAACGACGTAATTTTTACGTAATTGAG